TGTATTGGTGTATTTCTAATGTTGTTATTGTTATGTGCCAGTGAGTGAGTTCTGACTCACAGACACCCTATATAGGGTTTCTGAGGAGCAGTTGGTGGGTCTTTGAGGTTTGCAGTCCAGTGCTGGTCCTATAGTGCCACACCAGGAGTCCCTATTTCTAATGGTACCTATAATGTTCTGCCTTCTGAGTCATTTGCATCTTTTCTTTCTTACCATGCTTCAAGCATATAAAAGCAGTGGTCTGGAAGACAAATTTGGCAAGAGAATCAGTGTGATTTGGCATCAGGAAACAAGGAAAATTGTTGAGATATTTTCAAGGGAATACTTCTGATCTGGAAAACAAACTACAATTTTGATATACTTTTCAGGCTATGAATGCTATATGATTGTTGGAAATCACTCTTTAAAGTCACATGACTAAGCCTTGAGTCCTGGTTTATCTATTTCTCAAGTGTGCAGACAAGAGCATGTAATCATTTTGGCCTTAGTTTCTTCATACAGTAGCATCTCAAAACTTCTTTCCAATCTTCAGTCTCAGCTTTAATTTTTTCCACAGCATTCATTATCACTTGAATTACTATATGTTTTCATTTTATTTTAAATTACCATCTGTCCACTATTAGCATGCAAATTCCACAAACAGAATAGAGTAAATAAATATACATACTATTTTTATTCATTGTTCTAGTCCCAGAGCTAGAACAGCATCTCACACAGTAGACGTTCCTTCAATGTAAATTTAATGAATTACTAAATGGATAAATGACCCTTAGAACTGCAGGAACAGAGATTGAAAATCTCTGCTCTATATTCTCCAAGCATTTCCCCAGGACAGTTGAATTACTGGAGAGTAGTATACCCTTTCATCCCAGCTCCCTGAAGAAATGCCTTTACTGAAATATGATCAAAATGTTATGCCCTCAGCTCTTAGAGAAATGTCTATTTGAGCAACGATTTTGTAATTTGTTATCCCATGACCCCAATTTAAGAACTCTTGGAGTAATTCCTCCTTGAATTCAGTGCCAAAAAAGTTTGTCTCTTCAATCTAAATTATGCTTTTATAGTCATAAAATGAGACCTAAGCTTGCCAAGCAATCTCCCTTTGTGTGTTAGCTTCCTTGACATTTAATTCAGTTCATTTAATTCAACTTTGTGGTAGTAATTATCTAGACTCTGGCATCTTGTTACATACATTTATCTACTCCTTTTTGTTAGATTCTGTCATTTTTATTCGAATTGTGTCACATCTTATTGTGACTCATTTTATAAGCCACTCAAAATCATATTGAAAATAAATAAGTTATAAATAGCAGATTAATAAAATAAAATGATTAGCAACACTGTTATGTGTACATACAGTTTGCAATGAAGAGAAGAATCATTTTGTTTTCAGGTACAGGTAGAGCAGCAGGGAATTTCAGGGCAGTGAAACAATTTCCTATGCTAAGGTGATGGTAGCTATATGGCATTATACATTTTCCAAAATTCATAAACAGTGAACCCAATGTAAACTATAGACTTTCATTAGTAATAATATATTAGTATTTGTTCATCAATGTGACAAATGTACCACATCCATACAAGATGCTAATAATTGGGAAAACTGTGGCTGATGATAGGGGAGAGAAGGAATAAATGTACACTCTCTATTTACTACTCAATTTTTTCTCTAAACCTGAACTCCTCTAAAAATTAAGAATATTAATTTGAAAATTGGCAAGAGTAATTTCAGATGTCATATATCTGCTGAGAAAATATAACCCTTTCTCAGATACTTCCTTAAGGATAATACTATCATAAGGGCAATGAACACAATGATAAAAGTCCTTGAATTATGGGGATATTATTTTAAATATTCAGACCTTATTCATGAACATAATAAATGTATACTTTCAATCTTCTGTGAAGAAATTTACTAGCAAATGTGAAAGAATTCAAGGTAATACTAAAGGGCAACAAAGTTCCCACAAAAACAAAAACAAAAAACTATGATTTTGTCTTCTTACAGATGTTAAGGTATAAATACTAACCCTGTTTTTTAACAATATACCTGAAATATGTCTACTGATATATTTGATTTGTCATTTGTTTTACAGAACTATATTTTTCAGAGGAAGGAAAGAGAGAAGAGTGAAGGAGAGTAACAGCTATTGATTTCCGAGTATACATCAAGTGATCATAACATATCACTAATAACTTAATTATTAAAACACCTATATAAAAAAATCATGAATTTGAGGTTCAGAAAAGATTATATAAACATGTTCAAGGTTACACAGCTCTTAAGAGATAGAGCCAGCATTTACCCTTAGGCCTAGTGATCTTCAACATTTATATTCTTTCCTGTCCAACTGCCCTAAAGGTCTTGCAAATCCTCTATGTGTGCTCTTTTGTTACATTTTGAAGTGGCATACTATGTCCCTACCTCACTTCACCCACTCAAAAAAAAAAAAAAAAAAATCTGATAAAATTTCTGAATTCAAAATGAGTTTGTTAACTGCCTTTGCAGAACAGGTTTGACAGGGATGGATGGGGTTCTCTTTCTTCGGCTGGGGAAATCCACACAAAACAACTGGCAAGAGAAGGGGAAAATGGAATAGAGACTGCAAGTTCCACCAGGCAATTTCAGGCTATTTCATTTTCATGTTTGATTTCATTGGGTTATCTATTCCGTTTTGAAATTCTTTTTTAAAAATAGTTAATTGGCAAAATTCGGTAATATGTGCTAGTTCTATAAAGTTAATGACATACTTTATGTAAGCTAAAGACAAAATTGAAGTCATCATTATGTATGTTGTGGTTGTTGGTGCTGTCGAGTAGGTTCCAACTCACAATGATCCTGAATTAGATTTCCAAGGCTGTATGTCTTTATGGGAGCAGAAAACCTTATCATCAT